CGAAACTGTGATACTATTGTAATGGGTTTTTAATGTATATTAACTACTAGTAAATTTAAGTATACAGGATCGGTCATAAAGTTGTGGCACATCAAACTTTATTTTTTAAATGAAACCCCCTGTATATTATTGCATATTTCAATTCTTCCTTCAATTTAAAACAATAATCGTAATACACAATGTATATAAATTGAAGAATTGAAATGTTAAACAGAAACTTTTTTAATTTCCAGACTTGCTATACTCTCATTTTATACATCTATAAATGCTAATTTGAGGACTAATGTCAAATGTTATTAAGTATCACAGTTTTGGCAAAATGGCATCGTTAAATGAAACTGAACATATCGAAATTAATTAAATCAAATTGTTTAAGTGATATTTTCAAAAGTCAATAACTCGGAAACGGTTGGTATGAGGTACATTGTGTGTCTTTAGATTTTTGCTAAGAATTGAAGAAAGAACCGAAATATTCAATAATATACAGGGCTTCCATTTAAAAAATGAAACTTTGATGTGCCACGACTTTATGACCGACCCTGTATACTTAAATTTATTACCCGCTAATAGATATTTATAAACCCTATAACTTTTATATTTAACTTTTTGCGGTACCTCCTATATTTTACTAATAATCGACCTAATCGACCGATTCCATACATAAAAGCGACCCTGTATATTATGTGTTTCGACGTTTACTGAAATATTCTGTCATTACAGGGAACGACTGAGATCCATAGTCAATGCTGTTTGGCGGCAATCAGGGGCGCCGACTGCGGGGGTGCTCGGGTGTTCCAGCACCCACGACAGGAAAACAATTGCTGTCCTCCATTCGCGAACTTCAAGTTTCAGAGCTTTAAGCCCTGGGCTACTCAGAAAGGTTCTGAAAGGAGCTGTGCGCGATAGTCTGGTGCCTCCATATGGCGCGGAACAGTTCTGAACTTTATGACTCAATTGAATGGAATGAGAGTATCGCGTTCTTGAACAGTGCGGAGCACCCACGAGCATTGGCGTCAAAACTAATCAGTTTAGCAACTTTAAGCAACACAATTGTAATTATATAACTATGTCACTACTTACCTATAGCAAAACAGAAAATTTCTGAAGTACTCGTAAGTAACATACTTGGACCAACTTTTCCCAATGTTTCTCCTATGCTTTCTTGTATAGATTCACTTGGTTCTCTTAAAAAAATATGTATATAATACAAAATTAAACTCAATAAACGACTTTGATATCAATACTAGAAAATAATACAAGACATACTTTTTAAATCAAAATTAGATTAAAGCTTCGGGATTTAAATAAGGGGGATTTAAAAAATTATATTTTTTATTTCATATTTTTGATTAAAACTATTCAGTATTACCTGTCTTTTCGTTGATGTGTTTGGACGATAATAAAGATATTATCCACACCAACTGCTAGTACCAAGAAAGGGATCACTTCTATAGTCAACATGGTTGTTTTGACGTGAAAGTACGAACATAGACCAATAGCTGAAGTTACTGAGAAACCAACTATAAATACTCCGCCGACTCCAAGTATCATCTTTGTTTCTAGCTGCAAATAATATTTTGAGGTAATTAATATAATACAGAGCGACCAACAATGACAATGACTGAAATAGTTGGCAATATTAACTTACAGGTTTATCAGTAAGACGGAGAAACTAAATAAATCAAGGATGGCATTCGGTCCCTTTGGACCACTTCCAACCAATAAATATAAGAGTTCAATCATCGTTGATCCCTCCATATATTTTGTAATATTTCAATTATTGTTATCACTCATTGCTACCGTAGATCATATATTATACTTACGTGGATAAATCAACGCCATAAGTTTAGCATTACAAAATATGTCTCCAACATCACGACATGTCATTTTCAAACCTTCTTTATTGCACTTATGAAACGTTCAATAGGTTTGTCTTTCTCGAGGACCTTACTTTCCGCATGCGCATTAAAAGTTGCACGTATTTCCAAAATAATCACAATTTTATACGGTTTATAACTTTGAATAAGAAGACTAAGGAAGGAGCATATCAAAAATCTTAGGTACACCGCGATATATTTCAAATATGGCCGACTTAAATTCCGGTTTATCAGTGTCGTTCTAATTTTATTTAATAATTATCTTTGTCAAGTAGTAAAACTGCAAAAATGCAAGAGAAAATATATAATTAGTTAATTTAAGTGAATTTCATAAATGATCGGTTTACTACACGTATGCATATCATATAGTCACTTACTAGCGCAAAGTTGTTCCATTATTTCACTCGATTTTTGCCGAGATCTACCGCATGCTACACAACCAACTATTTTAGAGTCTTTTTCGATAAATCGCGATAGTGTCACTGTTAATTTAAGTTCTGCCACAATTTCCATCTAGATTTACTACCTTTATACAACTATCAGTAGTAGAATAAATAATAAATAACATAAAATAAGCTCCGAAAAAAAAAAAAATACAAAATATTCAAAAATTATTATTTCAAGGAATTTATTACGAGTAGAAAAAATATTGTGCTGGGTTGGCGTTGGTCATGGTACAAAGAAAACAAGGTATGATCGATAGCGGCTCCAATTTCGTTAAGTTTGTGCATACCACCTGTGACGTCATACGCCATAAAGAAAAATATCCATATTGTTCAATTGCCACTAATAAAAAAAAGACCTATAATAGGGAAGAATCAGAACATAACCCCAAAAGTTATGTCAAATTATCGAGCCGAATATTTGCAAATTATTTTCGTTTATTGTGTCATCTGTTTGACAATTTGAAATTGGCGCGCGGAGCTTGCCGACCAATGGTGCCGTTTATCACCTGTGACGTAGTAACCAACCTGCGCAATATCATACCTTGTATCATAGATAAATGCAACAAGTTTAGATTGGAAAGCCCGTAAAAATTTTGGGTCGCGAAATTATTTTGGGTCGCGACCGTTATACGCATTGCCTGGAAACTTATATGGTGAAATTTTGATAAAATAATTTAGTACTCACTAAAAACACAGTATGTCGCTAGTGGTAGGAAAAATAATTTTTAGAGGTTACTAGCTTATTTGGTTGCCTGTGATATGCTATACAGGGTGTTTCCTAATTAATCTAAAAAATAAAAAATCGTTAGAAATGCGGGCTCTTAATAAGTATATTTATTTTTTTCTCGGCAAACCGTTTGATGAACAAGAAAACTAAAGATCAATTTTGTTGAAAAGGATGACCAGTCAAGAAAAAATATATTGTCCTTAAAAAAGCAGTAGTCTACCATTTATGTTAAGGAAAATATCGATTTTTTTAATTTTAACACCCTGTAGATCAGAAAGGAAGTACATTAGACCCAATGGTTATATAAAAATTGGGTAAATTGTTTTAAGAACACAAGAGGAATCACACCACAATTTTAGACTAATTAGAAAACACCTGTATATTGTCAACTTGACAATGATTGTTGATAAATCAAAAATACCTTTTCTGTGAAAAGCAAATTTTCAAAGTCGATTTTTGCAGGAAAAATTTTGGTTTATATTGAATTTGGACCTGCGTCTGCAAATACCGGTATGTTTTTTAATATCCTATCTATCTAAATTTTAAATATCATAGTCAGAAATAGTTTTATTATTTATTAACTGTAAAATGGTATACTTAATAAGTTTTATCAATATTGTGATTTACTTTCTACCTTGTAGTCAAAATTTATATTTACAAAACCGTATATATTCTTGAGCAGCTTTTTTTAAAGTTACTCTGATATACCAATATATCAGTGTAACTTAAAACTGAATCCTTTGAAATCAAATTATATAAACATAAAAAATATTTACAGCAGAAAAGGTGAAGGCGCTGTTAAACGTAGTCTCTACTAAGAACACGGAGGGGCGCTTTCGCCCAAAATTTTACTATTAAGTTTCATATCTATCTTAATAGAAGATTATTTTTTTATCTATGGTTATACGCGATCTGGCGCTGCCATAGCGGTCGCTAAGAACAACGGCAAACAAAACAGAAATAATTTTCTTTGTCAAAGTCAGAATCTTCAAAATCATAATAATCTTTCAAAATCTAAACCGCTCTCATTAAAGAAATCTCGAAAAGTGTTTATAGCGTCCATTTACAAAGTAATAATTGCTATCTTGTGAGTTTAATTCAAGTTTTATTTACTCCAACCGGTGATACTTGCGAAAAAGTGGCATTAAAAACTTAAAAAGCTGTGTTGTGAACTGTGAACTGCAAAAACCATAGTGAATCGTGGCATAACGTCGGTTTCAATGTTTCATAGGTATTTCATACATGCCTTATATAAAAATAAAGTTTTTATAACACACTGTCTTTTATTTATAAAATTAAAGGAAAATAATAATAAATTTGAATAAACAATATTGGCGATATAATTCCCGGAAAAAGCCGAACCGCTCTGAAATTTTCAAAAGTTTTGGGTCGCGACCGTTGCAAAAATAGCGCCAAATAGTGTTTACATTGTCCTTATGGGCACTTTCCAATCTAAACTTGTTTCATTTATCTATGCCTTGTATTCTTTGTATCATAGGCGCTGGTTTCTATGTAATTTGGCAAATAAATAAAGCTGTCTCTTTAGTTGTCAGTTTTGAGTCAACATTTTTTAATTCTCTTTCGTGTCGATTGCTGATTGAATTGGAGCCAGAAATGGCTCAGAACGAAATAGTAAATTACCAACAGATATTCAGGCTGAGGCGACAAACGCCGCCGTATCCAAACTACTTCCTTTTAAATCCCGAATAACTTATGAAAAGGAATACAAAAATTTTCAAAAATGGAAGCAATTAAAAAACGTGCGAGAAGAAATAAACTTTTTAACCTATCCTCGCTGTGAAAGTATCATTTAATCTACCCTTGCGGTTAAAGTACTATTTTATCTACTATTTTTGATAGATATAAGGCAATTTAGTAGTTGCTATAGAAAAAATAAATAATAATATTGAGATAATGAATTACCACTTATTGATTTCGATGCATACTTACACATTAGATGATTTAGACACTAAATACAGCTGTGTAGATATTGAACTGTCATTACAACCAACACCACCGCATATCTTATTACTGACGTCAGAGTCCGAATATTTCACTTTGCCTTTGGTAACCCAATATACAGGAGCCCCTGTACCCAACATGACTTTGAGATACTAGAAATAAGGACGAAAAAAATTGATTAATACCAAAAGTTAATATTTATTGAGTAAATTTCTGTTTTTTTTTGCAATTACTTCGTTGTCAATTAGTATACTAAAATTATTTGCAGTATGCAACCTTCCTTTTAATTTTACGATTTGTGAGATATTTGTTAAAAAACTTACTTGGAAATATTTTAACACGTAACTATCAGTTGGCATGGACAGTTCTTGGTCTAATCCCAGTTCAATGGAAGGTGTTATCATAACGCACAGTGCCGTAGTTATTAAAAATATTACTATTATAGTGATTCTCACAGGTAATCTGTAATAGAATATACAGGGTATTTCTTAACGAAGTGGAAATATTTTCGAGGGCGGTAGATATGGTTAAAAGAATTATATTTTGTATTTTTAAAAAAGTCCAAAATAAACCGGCTACCTAAATTTAAATTGTTTTTAAAATGCTCTTAGCATTTTTGTAATTTTCTAATAAATTTAAATAAATAAATCTAATTTAATTAAATTAATTAATTTAAATAAATAAATCTAAATAAATAAATCTAAATTTCTTTTTTGGATTAAATTTTTCTAAAATAAATTTGGTCTAATATCATGACATAAAAGAAAAAAAATGATAAAAACTCTTACTTTATTATTAGTGGTGTGAAGACTTCTTTCCAGAATGTATGTATTAAAGGCTTTTTCGTGCTTTTCTCAGATTTAACACGAAAGCAGAAGAGAATGTCAAGTCTATTGTTCTAAAAAATATAATATTTTTAGTTAAATATGGGACAACCCAATATAAATCTATTGTTGAGAAGAAATTAAAAGCTAGTCCCTAATTCACAATATATTTTATAAATGACATTGGTTTCGGAGGGTCTTTTTTTAAGCCAAAATATTGTCCATCCAGGAAGGAAATACATGACACATAACAATGATAGATGATGGTGACACTCTTTTCTGTGGACTTTGTTGGATAGACTATAGTTGGAACCAATATATAGATCGCTAAATACAATTTTAAAAGACGCTCCAACCAAAATAATTAACAAACAAATAATGTAGAAATAAAATATATTTTTCTATAGTAATATAATAAACATACAATATCCAATAATTTCTATCTGAGTCCCTATCTGAATGCTTGAAGGAAAATAAAGAAAAATATACAGCCAATTTAAATATTATAGATATTTTTAGAAACTCAATGTTATTGACTAATTTTTAAACAATGCCAACGAAACAAATAGTAATTCTAATTTGATATATTTAATACAAATTATGTTATTACAAAGATTACAAAGTGCTTATTTTCATTAAATATTGATAACTTTTTTAATTAAATTTTGACTTCGTAACAATCATATACACATAAGTTATGACAAAATTAAAATTCTTAATTAATTAACAATTAATGGACCATAAATGCCATAGTGCTTATTTGCCAAAATAATTGCAGCTAAAAATCCGCAATTTTATGTAATATTTGAAAACCTACTTGGTATAGATTTTTAGAGAACTTTAGTGGTTAGAAAGTTACCTTTTGTGGTAAAAATAAATTTCAATCGCCTTTTAGAGATAATATTTTTATATTATATACAAATTGTGATATTAGAATATTACTTCTTATTTTTATTAACGATTTATAACTAAGCATAACTTTATTAATTAAGTTTTGACGTAGTGTCCATCATATACACATAAATTATGACAAAATCCAAATTCTAAAATTAATGTTTATCAATTGGTTGGTCATAAATGCCATAATGGTTTTGATGTAGTTACAGCTAAAAAATAACTGCAATAATTTATAATTTCTTTCACACTGTTTAGTTCGAAAGGGTAAATATGATGATAAAACATATTATGGTACAAATTAGCTTTAAATTACGAAAAATAATCTACTTGCCTCATATCGCTTGCTGATCTAATGCTAGTCAACTATAAATACGGTAATTTGACTACAAAAAGTCCAATGTAACAGCCAGAGCAGCGTATACAGCAAATGTATGTACTGCAGGCATCGATGAAAGTGAACCTATTAAAACAAAAAAAAGCAACTTGAGTGTGCTACGTTAAGTTGTTTATCAGAGCATTTAAAATTTAAAAATAAAGTCTATAGGTACGTATTATACAGGACGAGTCTAAAATAAGTGCAACTATGTTGGATGGTATATTTCGACCCAGAAACACGTCTATGAGGTTTTGAAAATTTGGATTTTTTTCAACAAACTATTTTGCGATTTTTTTTTCAATTTTTATTAAAAAACACATTTTTTTTTTTTTTTGATAATATGGCAACTTGGGTATTAGATTAAATTTACAAGATAGAAAAACCAGAAAAGAACAACCGAGAAATTTATAATCAACAAAAAAAAAAAAAAATAATTTTTTGAAAATTTTCTAAAATATTCGGTTATTTTGGCTTATTTGAAAAACGGTAAAAGAGAAATAAATTGTTTTTTTACTCGAGATCTGCCAGGCATGAAAATATTAGCCACTTTATTTTGAAGACTCACCCTGAAAATATGTACAAACAAATCATTGCTGCACTCAACTTCGTTTCGTAAAGAACAAAAAACCAACTAGTACATATACAGATGACTTCGACAAAGCTTTGTACAGCTCGTACGGATTTAAAATTATTAAATAGAGAAAAACGAGAATGAGAATCTATGACAATTTTTAATCACTCAATTTATTTATATACAGGGTTGTTCACCAAAGGGACACGGGGATGTAAGCAAACGATATTAGATTTTACAAATTGTTAACGTTTTGGGTTCTTTGGAAGGACCTATTAGACGCGCTACCAATGTTAAAAATATTTTACATGATACAGAGTGTCCCAAATAAAAAAAAATATCAAAGTGGTATTTTTTTTAAATGGAAACATCCTGTATATTATTACATTTTTATTTCTACGATTAAAAAAATAAAGGTAGGTATTGATAAAGGTTTATTACACGTAAACCTTACAGGTTTTTTTGAAATATTTTTCAAGTTTTGGTGAAACTTGCAGTCCAAAAATGTTATGAACTCTCTCATATTAAG